TCCTTCTTTCCACCTTGCTTGATTGCTTCCTTTCTTCTTTCCTCCTTGCTTGATTGCTTTCCTTCCTTCTTTCCACCTTGCTTGATTGCTTCCTTCCTTCTTTCCACCTTGCATGCTTGCTTGCTCCCTTGCTCGTTTGATTCCTTCCTTCCTTTCCGTCTTCCCTTCCCTTCCCTCCAACCCCGCAAAATCCCTCCATCATTGTTTAAATAAACTTTACTAAATGCTAGGTTTGGATTTCAGGTAGAGGCAAAAAAATGGCTAGGGCGTGGAGAGACCCTTACGATGAGACGCATCTATTCTGTGGTGCCTAACTATCTTACATTGGCTTTAAACTATGCCCCTCCGAGCAACAAACCACTTCRATACGAACTTCTTTGTCGAAGGGCTTTTGCTTATAGCGAGATAGACGATTTCCAACAAGCTGTTGAGGATGGCGACAATGCAACAAAAATTCAACCTGATAATGTACAGGTATAAAACATGACCATGAATTAAAAATATTAGTTCAAAATATTGCATGCCAAAAGAGTTCATCGTTTTATCCGGAAACCATAGTAAATCAGTGCATTGAACCATAATTTGATTGAAATTGAAATTATATTGATTTTGTTCCAGGGGTACAAATGTCTTGTTTCTTGTTACAAAAGCCTTGGCCGCGACAACAAGACGTTATATGCTTTGGCCCATTGCCTGAGGACGGAAGAAAATCTCAATGAAAAAAGGCATTATTTTGAAGAAGCCATGGAAGTTGCAGCTAGATTACCAGGTAATTGACGTAATAGTTCTTCGGAGACTTAAAGCACGAATGCAAAAGCCCATTTGACTGACTGTCTTCAGGCCACAAAAAAAGACACACACCCTAAATCTCTCGGTCCTTTTTTCCGTCAAGTGTATTTATAAGTACCAGCTAATATTATGAATTAATAGCACCCGTTAGTAGTGATACTCATCCGTTATTGCTACAGACACCGGCGATAAGGACCTAGTGAAGGTGCCAGTAATTCTCCCATTTTCGATTGTGATAGAGGTTTTAGGGGGTTATAAAAAAAGTGGTGGTAGTGGTGGTGGATAGAGGGAGGGTGCACCGGCCAAAACTCGCATTTGGAGTTTCTTCAGTAAATTAACATAATACTATCATTGTGTGGTGACATGAAGCTGCCTTTTTCACAGACATCTCTCATTGGATGTTTGTGGTATGATTTTTGGAAAAGTTTAGAAGACACCTCACTCAATACCTAGCATGCTTCCATACTGATGCAGGTGTTGCACCAAAAACTGGAGTTATTACATCTTCCGCTTTGCATATTTCAGAGGGAACAACAGCCCTAACAAGTGAAGTACCAACATCATTCATTGAGCAAGTTCAAGACAAAGCAATTCAGTCACACAATTGGGAACTGCTACGTGTACTCTATCTCGGTGGTGGTGGACCAGACCAGCTTCAAGTGGGAAAGGGAGGGTTAGCCACAAAGCGCATTCGCGCAACTCAAGTTCCTATTGAAGATGCTGTATCGGCAAGCTTCAAAAGCAAGCCTGAGACACTGGCGGCATTATTAGACCATGGTGCTAACGTGAATGGACTGAGAGGTAATTCAAACCCACTAGTGTGTGCAGTTGCGAAAGGACAAGTGGAGGTTGCCAAGGTTCTTTTGGAACATCGGGCGAATCCTTGTGTGAAAACAGATAATAGCCAGCCCTTACTGCATAATGTAGTCCAGAAAGCCATCGAAACAGGTAACTGTCAATGCATGTATCTATTACTATAACTATATATATATATGAAGTAAAGGAGGGAGGAAAACTGGAATTGAAGGAGCTCATTTTTGCTTCCCAGTATGAAACAGGGGCCCAAAAAGTTTCCATGCGGGAAAAGAAAAAATGACCCATAATTGGAAAAAAGTAAATAGCTTAAGTATAGAGACTTTATAATTATAGGTGCTGAATCAGAGTCACTGATGATTTATAGTTCAAATGTGATAAATATTAGATATTAATTATATATATACTTATTTTCCAGGGAGTCTCGATATGCTGCGCTGCCTTCTTTCATTCAAACATGCTGACATCGAGAATGTCCAAGATCCAAAGGGATGCACTCTGTACCACCTTGCAATGAATGGAAGAGTAAATGACAACAAAARAAAAGTCATTAGGCTTTTGATGGACGCAAATATTAACCCAACGCTCAAAAACAAATCAGATAAAAGGCCAGTAGATTGTTGTTCAAGCAGAGACKATCGAAAGAAGATGCTGAGTAAGTTTATGAAGCGTTATGTTCCAACAGTAAAAGAAGAAACAAAAGAGCAGCTAACTGACGAGGCAAACAACAGCAGTCAACAGACGAAGTTAGTAAATGAGAAGGTGGAAGAAGAACAAGAGAAAGTGCCCATTGCTGCAGAACCTCAACCTCCGATAGTATCTTCTGAAAATAATGACTCTATGAAAGGTCGACCTCTTGAAACAAAGCCTTTAAAGTCCAAAGATAAGGATGCCGAAGAGAAGAAGAAAGTATCGCTTAGGACAATAGAATATCTAATAGAACGTCTAAAGATTGTGAAACCCGACGACTTGAGACATCAAGCCATAGACGATGAAATAATGGAAGTCACTGAGGACATTATAGAAGAAACGACCGAAATCCCTGAAAATGGAGAGGGCACCAAGGCAGTAGGTGAAGATGAAGAAGCAGAAGATGGTGGTCTAGAAACTGCTAAGAATGAAGAGGAAGAGATAGATGTTTTGGATTCAGAATCCCCATTCGAAAACCTGACATGGGAAGTAGATTGTACCGAAAGCGTGTGGAAAACACTACAAAGTAAAAGGGTTTCTGAAAAAATGAAGAAGAGCATGGTGAAGAAGATACGCATGCTAGCAGAAGGCCGATGGAGTAAGACGACTTGCAAGAAGATGAAAGGTGAACCAGAAAAGAAAGGGATTCTTTTGTACGAGTCAAAGCTAACGAAGGGTGCAAGAATATTGTGGGAGAAAACTATTGCATTTTCTCCTAGATGTAGCAATGATCCAGAATTGAGACTGCAAGCATCCGTCAGTAAAGATGGGGCGAACAACGATGGTGAAAATAGAGCTACTAGTGGTGATGGTACTGGAAGGATATACTCTGAGATTATCAGGGTTTGGAGTATTGTACTAGACCACGGAGACTTGCAACACCAAATAGAAAATGTTGTTAAATCACACGATCGTGGTTCTCATTGCATCGTCAAAGCAGATCTGAAAGGATTCGGAAAAAATCAATCAGGCTCGAGTAATTATCCAGCTTATTACATGGAACGCAGCAAAAAAGAGCCTTCTGCTGAGAGCGAGGAAACATTCTTCCCACCTGCAAGTTCCAAAGAAAATGAGTTCCACATCCTGAAGTTTTACTCTGTTACCTCAGCTGTCATCAACACACTGTTGGCTGGAGATGGAAAAACCAAGATTGATTTTCCATTCAAAGTCACTGAGCTTGAGCATGCCATTATCAACCTACAGCCAAAGCCACCTTGTCCCATTATTCTGCTTGGTCGAAGTGGCACAGGGAAAACGACGTGTTGTCTGTATCGTCTTTGGACAGAGTTCCAAAATTACTGGGAAAATGCTTCTAGGGCTGGACCTTACATTCCAAAGTACATTGCAGCAGAAGCAATCTCCGAAGAAGTGGAAACTTCTGGAAACTGTGCCGAGTCAAGTTCCGGAGTGGAATATTTGCAAGCTCCGGTAGCTGAAAATGACGACGTTTGTGTTTGTGATGATGATTCGATGAATGAACCACATATTCGTGATGAAGAAGAGAATAAGGCCGCGAATTCGCCAGAACGCTGTGAACACTTTCATCCCTTGTTCATTACGAAAAACACAGTACTGTGCAGTGAAGTGCAAAAGAATTTCAAAGAGCTTAGGAATGCTTGCCCAGTTACAAAAGCCATGACGAACTTACCTGGTGATTCTCTTCCTAATTGTATTCAGGATATGGGAGATACTTCCTGGCCCTTGTTCATAGGTGCTCGTGATTGGATGCTCCTGTTGGATGCTTCATTACCGGGCACAACCTTTTTCAAAAGGGCAAAAGATGGCAGTTTATTGAAAAGAATTGAAGGATGGGGCGAAGAGGACACTCACTTACACTTCATACCGGAAGGGGAAGAAGATGATGATGAAATTGATGATGAAGTTGAAGAAGCTGAACATGTTGCCGAAGAAGGTGGTACTAAACGATCAAAACCTCAAGCGAAGGACGTGAAGAGAGAAGCTACGTATCAGGTTTTTAGAGACGAGTTGTGGCCCAAGATAAACAAGTCCAAAAAAACAAGCTACCATCCAACCCTTGTTTGGACCGAAATCAGATCGTTCATCAAGGGATCTGTAGAAGCTTTAGGAACAAAACATGGGTTCCTTTCGCTACAGGAGTATCAGGATCTTGGCCAAAAAAGAGCACCAAACTTCATAGGAGACAGAAGCACAGTCTACGACTTATTTCTAAATTACCGACGCATCTGCAACCGTCAAGGACTGTTCGATGAAGCAGACCTTGTCTACCATCTTCACAAACGTCTTTCTGAGAATCCAGAACTGTCATGGTCCATTCATAGCGTCTATGTAGACGAAACACAAGACTTCACTCAAGCGGAGTTGTCACTTCTCATCCGATGCTGTCGCTTTCAAAATCGAATGTTCTTCACTGGGGATACGGCTCAGAGCATCATGAGAGGAATTGCTTTCCGTTTTGAAGATCTCAAGACCCTATTCCATGGCATCAACGCGTTCAAAGTTACGACACCCGACGAGCCCGTCAGAATTCCAGACCGACTCTACCAGCTTACCCACAACTATCGTTCCCACACAGGGATTCTAAGGCTTGCGTCCAGTGTGGTAAATCTATTATCACATTACTTTCCTGAATCTTTTGACAAGCTCGAAGAAGACTGTGGCCTATTTGATGGTCCCAAGCCAGTTCTCCTCGAGTCCTGCAGTTTGTCAGACTTGGCTATGATCCTTCGGGGAAACAAACGGCAAGCTTCAAGAATTGAATTTGGTGCCCATCAAGCTGTTCTTGTGGTATCTGAAGAGGCTCGTGATAACATGCCAGGAGAATTAAAACACGGCTTGGTTCTCACTATATACGAGGCAAAAGGTCTTGAGTTTGATGACGTGCTCATCTACAACTTTTTTAAAGACTCGCACGTAAGTGTTAGGTTAAAGAAAAGTTTTGATAGTTTGTTAATCCAGTGTCTATTCTGTTTTCTTCACTTCCCATGCAGTACTAGCAAATTCCATGTAATTAGGCCTAATTATATGCAAACGATGCCTCAAAATTATTCTAACCTCTGCCTCAATTTTTGTTTGTTAGGCAAAAAAAGAATGGAGAGTCGTAACCAGCTATATAGAAGAAAAGCAGAAAGAAGCGCGAGGTGGAACTTCAGGTCTTGTGGAACTCCAAGAGAAGGACCTCACTTTAAAGACAAGACCCCTTGAATTTCAACCTGAGAAGCATAAGGTCCTAAACTCTGAATTCAAGTATCTGTACACGGCAATCACAAGGGCCAGAGTGAATGTCTGGTTTTTTGACGAAGATGAAGAATCRCGCTCCCCCATGTTTGAATATTTCAGACGACTGAACCTAGTGCGAGCCATAACACTTGAAGATGAAGGAGAAGGAACAGCAACAAGTCTATCGTCGATGTTTGCTGAGAGCTCTACCAAAGAGGAATGGCGAGAACAAGGCATGTTTTTCTACGACAAAGATCTTTGGGGGGTTGCTGAGAAGTGTTTCATTTTCGGTGAAGATGAGTTTATGGTTCGTAAATGTAAGGCCCAACAACAAGCACAGGAAGCCTTGAAGCATCGACGAAGCAATCCTCGCCTGATGAAGGAGAAGTTCATCCTTGCTGCTACTCAGTTCCTTGAATGTGACATGGGGAAAGAAGCTGCAGTGTGTTTGTACAACGCACGTGAAAGGCTGCTTCTAGCGAAGCTGTACAAAAAAATGGAAAGGGTAAGTTGATAATTTCCTAGTGTAGATTTTCTTGACAGCAATGCGTACAAATCCCAAATCATGGTGAAAAGCGTGAAGATTAGGCGACTGTAAATTACTTGATCGTTAAAAGTCGTTTGATCACTTTTTTATTTTTCAGTTTGCCGAAGCTTCCAAGTTTTTCCGTTTGGAAGCACGCTATGAGGAAGCCAGTGAATGCATGGAAATCATGAACAACTACAGCCAGGCCATCGAAATCGTCTGCGAAGCTCAACTCTATGAAAAAGCTATTGAAGTGCTGGAACGATACAATTCATTGAAGAAGATTGACGAGATGGAAGGTATCTTGCCACCTAAACCAAACAGAACCATTGAACGGCTTTGCTACAAATTGGCGGAAACGCATTTGAAAGACGGCAAAAGAGAAGACATGGAACGTGTTCTTCAAAGCCTTCCCTCAGCCGACGATCGCATTTCTTTTCTCATAAAGCACGAATGCATTGAAGAAGCGGCTCGAGCATTAGTTGACAATTACAGGCGAGAAGAGGCTGCCCAGTTTCTGCAGCTTCATGGAAGATTTAAAGCCGCAAAAAGAAATGCTAACGATCCCAAATTCCTTGGTGACTGCAGCTTCTACGAGGCACGTGTGCTGTACCAGAAGAAGAATACCGAACGTAATAATGAGGTTGTACAGCTACTGGAAGATGCAGTCGAGTACTACCGTCGGTGCAAAGACCGAAACGGTGAAGCAGAAGCGTCCCTTTTTCTAGGACGTCTAAAAGATGACCCAGAATTGATCACGGAATGTGGGAAAATTTTTCACCAGTGTCACAATATTTGTGGAGAATCCGAAGTTGCAGATGAATGGCTTAAACGTGGACATCCCTCCTCTTACTATTACAGAATCACTGTAAGAACAATCGAAAGACTCCTAGACCTAATTATCGACCTCCATAAACCACATACAAAGTTAAAGGCGAAGCAGCATGAACAGATTGCATTATGTGAGCAGTTCTTTGGACTCTTGAAAGTCGAAGATACGCGAAAAAGAAGTTGCCGAACTAGTTTCTGCGAAAGGTTTTATCGAATTGCCCCAAGAGAGCTTTTGTATGAGAGCAAGAATATGCAAGTGGAAGTTAGTGTCAAGGATGCTTATCAAACTATTGGACATGACCTTATTGCCAAAGCAATCGATCTAATTCAGAAGACAAAGGAATTTTTTATGTCCAAGCTCGAATTGAAAGGAGGTCATGAATCATACCTTCTGGCTGACTTGCCGTTCCACGAGAAATTTGAAGTTTTATTCAATTGGATATATCTGGACAGTGTAACAGTGAAGTTTTACAACCACCTGAAACAGCTAGGAAATTCTCCAATCCTGTCTAAAGCAGAGAATGTCATCCCCAAACAGAAAAAACGATTTCTGTCCTGTAAGCTCTTCACAGAAGTTCTTTTCCCTGAAGCAGGATGTAAAGTTCAACATCCCACAGTAGATCAGATTGCAAAGATTAGAAAACACCACGCAGTAAAACCACGACTCATGCAGTTTTGCAATGATCAGTGGAAGTCCTTGGAAACAGAAAGAGGAGCTCCAATAACCGATGTTTTCCTTCAGGTTTCCCAAGTGATGCAGCTGTTGGACGTGCCACAAGATCAAGGAATAAACATGTATCTAAATGCCAAAGAGGAATCTTTCTATCAAGCGTCTAAGAAGGACCCATCCAACAAGAAGCTAATTCATGAGAACGGAATATTAACCATGAAAGGAAGAAATGGGCAAGTTTCATTTGAAATTTTCCTACGTCATTGGGAAATCGGAAAAAAGACACTCCATTTGCACTACGATGTTGTGCAGTCCCTACATGAAACATCGAGGCGTTTCCTTACTTACACCGCAAAATCAAATTCCCGTTTCTATCCTTCAATTGCAAATACGTTAATGATCCTTGAGCATCAGTTGACAGTCTCCCTGATATTGTTTGCCAGACTTAAATGCCAAGCCAGAAACTTCTGCTGCTGCATCCCAGAAAGTTATCTCAAACGGCTGGAATTTACAGATAACCTGAACTGTACAAGACGAGGGGTGGTCACGATTATCAGTGCTGTTGACAAACATGTTCGCCGCACATGCTCTTCATTCACAGAAGAACAAAGGTGTTTAAGAGCAATTCAAAGTCTTCTGTCTCACGTCGTCAAGTTGATGTTCGGGATTGTTTCCCTCGATTTTAACGTATTTAACGATACTTTCTTCACTCAATCTTCAGACAAACTCATCGCATCTGGCGTGGCCGATAGAACGCTCATTCTGTCTTTAACGATGCTCGTGAACTGCGGCAAGGTTTTGTATGCAGACTGCGAAGGGGTCATATTGCATTATATCTTTACTGTAATTCCTCATTCCTCTTTACCTGAGCACTTAAAGACTGCCTTTCAATCGATGAGTGAAGTGAGCAACATCAGTGATGCTGTCAAGGTCCTTAAGAACCTGCTTCATGCTCGGAAGGCTGAGAAACTATTTGATGTGCGATGGAACTATGTATCTCCGGGACTAGACACGAGAATTTCGAACCCAGAGAACTACAATTTGCTGTTTGATGTAAATTTATCGGAGATCAAGGAAAAAGCAAAAAAAGAGTCTTCACGACCTGTCGTCTCTGATCTCGCATTGAAGGAACAAGAAGAGGATGAGAACACCGTGGAAGAAGAATCAAGAATCCTCGAGATAGAAAAAGAGAGGAAGGATAGAGAGGCTTTTTTACAAGCCGTCATTAAGATGCAAAGACTCTGCCGCCGAAGTCGAAGGAAACAAACTCTAAAACATGAACAGTTAGTTGAAGGAAAAGATCATCTAGATCCAACAGAAGACCATCTATTAGCGTTTAAGACTGATTCTACAGCCTGTAAGATTTGTGGAGTGGATTTTCAAGACACATCAGATAAAACTGTCGAAGGTTCTGAAGGTATTTCTATGTTATATCTCTTTCTATCTTAGCTCTAACCAAAGACAATCTTTAATTTCTTGTTTTATATATATTCATTTAATGGAGAAAACGTAAGCTTCTCATTTGAAGTTGGTCAATTGTATCCCACTAGTAGCCGACTCAACCCAATGTTTCCCCATTTTAGATCACTCAATGACATTCGTAGTTAAGATATCCTGTATCCACTCCATTCGCTAAGATTTGAAAATAATTTTTACAATTTGTATATGCAGTTAATAGCACTTATGCAAGCCATGTCACAAGTCCAGACCACAATGACAGACAAAAGCTGTTTGAAGAATACAAAGAACTGTATGTATCCCGCGTGGAGAAAGTACTCAGACGAGTCAGGAGCTTAGACGAACGAAATGTAAATGATCAATCGGGTATCGGTTTTGACATGCAACGGCTTGATGGAATGAAAAATAAGTTATGGGAAAAAATGAAGAAAATCGAAACTTGTCGGGAGTGGAAAGACACATCGCTTTTGATTCCACTTTTAGAAAACCTCGAAAAGAAAGTACGAGAAACCGAAACACTAGTGCAAGCGTCATCTACTACTGATTTAGATGAAAAGGATGAGAAAGAGATCCCAGGAGGTCACATGGAAGAAGATGAGGAGGAGGATCTAGAGGAGATACTGACTGTCCGAAAACAAAAGAAGAATCAGGGCCATGGAAGCAGGGGAAAAAGAAATCGAAAAAAGGCGAGTTGAAACTCAGACAGACACTCATCGAAGGAGCTCGCTTACCATAAAATGGGGATAGTTATAGTCAGTTTACCATTGATTTTGTGCTGCATGAAGACAACACGGAGAATGCGGGGGGACACAGTCCCTTTTTTCAAGAAGCCCGTTCGTCGTTTTTATAGTTAATTTGTTAGGAATACGTATATTTACGACAATAGGGTGGCATTATAGATATGTATAATAACTTGAGTTATAGTTTGAATACTCTTGTTAGTTTGAATACTTGTAAAATAGATTTTTAGTAGGTTTTAGAAGGATATTTTTAAAAAGTAATCGTGTTCGGCTAACGTCTCTTTTATTTAGAAGGATCAAGATTGGTGTCAATCACCTACTTTTCCTAGCGCAAAAATAGGAAATCATCTCTCGAGTCGCAACAGCGTTAGCCTGCTTGTAGACTTGCCATGATTTGTAGCCCAGAATAGCTTCACAATTCTTGAAATGATGAAAGAAAATATTCTTTATTTCAGTGAAGTTATGCAGTGTAAAAAAAATATATGTAAAACGTTTGTAGAAAATCTATGAATAAATAGAATCCAAGGGGGATTGATACTTTCCCTACGGACACACAGGATTTCTATCACTGGTTGACTCTTCTTCATTCTGGTTTTTCCTTGGCTGCTTACAACTGCGACGACTAAGAACAACACAAACTAAATTCTGTGCTGCATACGCTTATATAATAGTGCCCGCATAAAATTAAGTAAATGACGTCAAGCACTGACATCTCTTACAATTATTTCTATTGGTTAACTAATAGTATAGTATAGTATAGTTCCCAATTCCCTAGGAGGAATTTGAACTAATTACGATATTTATAGTATATAAAATTGAATAAGAACTAAACAATCGCTAGATCACATTGCTACCTAGCAAATACTAAAATATTATTTAATATTAGTCGAAATTTAAAAAAGATTTCATCGCTACAAGAGGGACTATCATTCCATTACCGACAGCGCCCAGTTAATTAATTATTCAGCCATAACTTGAAGGTAAGTAAAAATATCTCTTAAAAACACACTATTTCTAATGAGTCGGTTGATCTTCATATCTACCAAAATGTCAATTTTTAGCGATGTTACATTATTGCTGACTGATTTCGGTTTTTCGAACATGACTTCCTTAAAACATCCTCTTGTTGTTGTTTTGTTTTTGTTTTTTTGTTTTGTTTTTTCCTGCGCTTTCTAATCGGTATCCAATCTAAATGTCTTTTTGCAGACTCTACGCCGTTCATTGAGCCACTAATAGTTTTTCTCTTATGAATCCTAATATTTTCGTTCCGATAAAACCCACTTTACAAACCACCAAAGTCATTGGGGAATTTTAGGCGCTTAAATAATCAGTGCCCATCAATGTCTATGCTGCTACTCTATACTATGACATCTATTTATGAATAAACTATGAGGGAAATTTAGCTTGTTTTTTTAGGGGAAATTTCCCTACTTATTTTAATAAAGTGATTTCTCTCTTTTTGCGTCTCTTCGGTATATGCTTCACAAAGCCGGGTTGAAAACGTTCCCGGAAAGTGAAGAACGAAAACGAAAGATTGCCATTTGAATCATTTTCATCCCTAATTTTTAACCAGTAATAAAAGCCAAAATCAATCCAAGGGAAATTTCGAGTTTTTATTATATTCAGTTTCGAAGATATGTTTCAGTCATAGGGTATTCCCCCTGTATATATGTGTATTTATCACAAGTTTGACGTCATCACAAAACAACCTCATTTCAACATGACCAATCAGATGACTATTTAAGCGAAACGAAATAATATAAAGTTTAAAGCTTTGGTTGTATCGCAAGTCAAAGCTCATTTCTCTTTGCCTACTCGATTCTCTACAAGTAAATGAGGTTTTAAATTCATCTTCAAATATTCTAGGTTTTCTTACTTGATTTGAAGAAGTTCGAGTTCAGAATTTCCAGACAATGAAACTAGGGATGTCAAATAGTGAATGGTATAATACATTTATTTTTATTCTATAATTTCATGAGAAGCATGAGGAAAATATTGAATCAACATTTCTCAATTTTGTAATCAGTTCTTGAGGCGCTGGCTGTTGTTGAACAAGACTGCTTCAATTAATCAAAAAGTTTTCTTCTCCTTTATTTTCATTCGATTTCGACGTTGGTTTTTGAGAGGTAAGTGCTGTAATTAACATGGTGAATCTGCCAAACTATAAATTTCGTTTTGAAAGTTTTAATTATAAAATTTGTGACGATAAGTTTACTACAATTTTTTCGACATTGCTATAAATACTTTCAATTCGATTGATCTCTTCACTGCTGAGAAAGATGCCTGATTGTGTCGAAACTTAGAAAATTGTAGTAAGCTTATCGTCGCAAATCTTATAATTTTGAATCTGCCAAAAGAGAGAAATATAATTACGTATGCCATAAGTAAAGGGACAGGAACTAACCGCAAATTTAATCTTGAATGAACCAATAATTATATTGCTATCAAATTCGTTGTATATTAATTTATACCCATAGAACTAGCATGTAATTCTGGGACTTTAAAAATGTTGATGAACGGAAAGTTATACCAATCCGGTATATGAAGAAATTTTGTCACTTCACAAAGGTTTTGTCAAAACATGTCTCGTCACTCTTCACTGCCTCAAATGATTGTCATCTCCAGCAATTACTGTGAGCTAATGTTAAAGAAAACGTCGTACGTACATCAAAACAACATGTGATTCAGAACTTTTTTTTTAGCCCGCTCTTGTTTTTCAGAGTGAAAGTGAAAATGATATCCGGCTAATCTAGAAAACCTGCACTGAGCTTACATTATTTGTCATTATCTTTTTGTTTATATGTATTGATTCATTTTCACAGACTGGAATACTGGACATTATGGATTCATCTCACCAACCCAAAATTTCAGCGAATGCAGCCGAGCATCAAAGAAAGCACGAAAAGGCTTTACATCGCCTTAATAAATCTTGGCTGAAAGTTCCTTTAAATATGCAAGTCAACTGTCGAATGGACTTTCTTTTGAAACGGGCCAGTTTGTTTTGGAGTTTAGGATACTACGAAAAGTGCCAAGTGGACTTAGATGAAGTTAATTCAAATGGTCTGCCTATTTTTTTAAATACCGTTGAACGGCAAAAGGTAATGACAATAGACACATGCATGATCTGTAATGGGAAATCATTTCACCACGACGAATAAGGTCTGTCGAAATCCAACCATATGATTACATAACTCTGTAATGGGACTAAAAAATTTGATAAGAACCCTTGAAATTCATCGTAATCATGCCAGTCGCATGGCGCTTAATTTCCAAAAAAAAAACTGATTCGAGCTGTGTTTATGCTAACAGAGTCCAATTGATGGTTTTCACGGCGGCCATGTTGGAGTAACTTAACAAAAGAATTGTCAATGAGTTCTTTTGTTATAACCTCCAACATGGCCACCGTGTTTTTTGTTATTTAATTCTTTTGGGAATGGTTGAAAACTATCAATAGATCTCTTTCTCTCCCTTCCCCTGATTAATACCAAAGGGAAATATAATTCTGCTAGCAGGGAATTTTCGTGAAAAATAAATAATGTATAATTCTTTGTTCGTGCTGTTAGCATATTTCCAGTTCGATCGTCCTGCAATTTTCAATGTAAAATTAAGAAAATGAAAAAATTTTCTAGACACTCCTCTTATGATTTTATGAATACTTTTGAACTTTGTTGTAATAGTATACATTAGATTTACCCTTTCCAGATCACGTAACTATCCATTGAAAATTGTTTACTTTTTATCAGTAGTGTAAAGATACACTAATATAATCTACGCAACTCAAAGCAGCGATTGTTAGATTTCAAAAGAATCTTATCAGAAATCTTCATATGGTGGTTATGGGTTTCTGATGTCATGCAATGGAGAAACGCTAAAGCCCAACACTGACGTTTTAATTTATGTTTTATAGATATACCAGGAATGGAAGTATAGAGGTAGTGAGGTTTTTGAAAGTTCTCCTTCGCTCGCTAAGTTCCTCTTTGACTGGTGTATCCCCGTTGCCACAACATTACAGGAACAATCACAATGCCATCTCTTCAAAGGTGTTGCAATATGGTTGTCAGGTGATCGAGATGAAGGAATAAAACTTATTGAAGAGGTTTCTGAATCGTATCCTGATATGATAAAGGTGGAGTATTAGTATGTATGCATGAAATATCATCATTGCTTCTGAAAATTTGCATGAACTTGTTTTATTTCAATGCAGAAGGCAATCCTCACTTGGAAAAAAGGCGGCATGACAGCGCTAGAAAATAAAGACTTCACAAAAGCCAAAAACCTTTTCCAAAGATCGTTGATTCTCATTCAAAGTGACAAGAGCCAAGACAAGGAAAACAAAAGTTGTATTTTAAGCAACCTCGCTACTGTGTATTCTAATTTGAACGAATACCAAACTGCTCTAGAAAAAGGAGAAGAAGCTTATGCATTGAACCCAGTTTCTTCACATGTAAGTAATTTTATTGGACAATGTTACCTTCTAGGACCGCGRAGCACCCTAAAACACGTTAGGGAGCATAGAATGGATAATCATAAAAGACTATAGCTAGCCATATGCAATTGAAAGGGTAAAAGCTGGGGTGGCTAAGATTAGAAAATTTAGTCAGTGGATATTAGCAAGAAATAGGGGGGCTATATCCCTCCCAGCCCGACGTCCCCCTCAGCGCCGGTGCCTGACATTGACACTAATTATTAACAGTATAACATTCCTCAGTAAAAGTGTTTAAGTAGGAAATTTTTTTTATCAATATTAGGACAAGGCAGAAATATGGAAAGAAAGAGCTGAGAGAATTCTAATAAATGGCAACTTTGTGTTGTCCATTAAGTACTGCACGCTGGCCATTAAACTAAGCCCAGGAGAAACCAAGTACACAAACCTACGCTGCACTTTGTTATCATGTCGCAGTGTTGCTTACGCTAAGACGAATCACTACGAAAAGGCCTTGGAAGACGCTGAGCAATGTCTAATATTAACTTCAGCGAAAAACACCTCAAAGGTAAAAAATAAATTAAGCTGTGTAATAAATTGTTTAACTTAGTCTCGCGCAGCTTGTCTCGCAACAAATTGCGACGAGACAAGTTGCGAGGAACATTTCCTATTGTTGCACCAACTTTTATTCACTACATGAGATTGGCAGATATAATAATGGTGCTGATATTTGCAATCTTAAACTTTTGTCCTGACGTCGGAAAAGCTGCATTGGGTATCCAATATTTGTTGCAGGAGATGTATATGAAGTTTATTGCAGTTCGAGGCAATATTGTGTTAGAGAGTCATCCTTCACTTGCGAAACTATTCTTCACTTGTTCCTTTCTCCATGCTGTAACACCATTCGATGAAGCACGTTGTCTTCTATACAAAGGAGTTGCGCTATGGTTGTCAGGTGATCAATCTAAAGGAATGACGGTTATCGAGGAAGCTTCTAATGTATATCCTGATATAATAAAGGTAAGATATAAATAAAACTAGATTTCTTGTAAAATCGATTTCCTATGCTTTTTTTTGTTTTGTTTGTTTGTTTGTTTGTTTGTTGTTGTTTTTTGTTTTTGTTTTTGTTTGTGTATTTTTCGTAT